TTAAAATTATTTTACCCCTAATCACATGTTATTACAAACCTCAATAAGAAGTCAACCTTTATAACAATTCTTATTTTACGATCCCCATGAGAGTCTTGTTATCAAGGTTCTACTGTAATAAGCTTCCTTTATCACTGAAAGAGGTAGAATCATTTAAAAAGTTCTGGTTACACTTACTATCTTACCTGTTAGACAATTGTTTTTACAGAATTGAGGACTTTTTATCAGCCTGATTGTAGTAGACATAACTTATTGACATTGATATAACTTAACTGTAAACTTCGCTAATAACCTAACTTATTTTATACTTGTTGTTCAATACTGTTAATGCTTTATTCTAATTATGTTTATTACTATATTTATTATTATGTTGCTTTTATTCTATACTAGTACACAATGTATATTTTGACAATTTACCTGCCTGCGTGCAGAAGCACACTCCTTAGGCATTATGTGATGTATTTTAATAAATAAATAAATGAGAGTGCGCACACTTAAACGCGCCTCGCCGCACAGCCGTGTCAACCGCGGAATATTTCTGTTGCCAGAAGTCTCGGGAGAAGTCACGTGGAATTGTTCCGCTGAAGGCGGCTCGGCGCGCTGTAGTGTGCAATAGGCAACAGAACCAATTTCTGACCGCGGCCACCTTCGCGTGTCTTCATACTACTTTGGTCAGCAAGGAAACGCACTGATCCTGATCACAGTCACAGTCTGAACCTGAAGTCATTCTGTTCTGTTTACGTTCACATGCTTTATAGTGATTATCGAGGAAGTTAATTAAGAAAATAAAAACATATCTTAGTCAATTAAAGCTGGTCAACTCGAAAAATAATCAAAAAGTTACACTTAACAACAAAATCACGAGACACACAACTGCACGCTAATGTAGAACTAGAGGCACTGCCCCACTGCCAGTGAGGGACGGCGGCGATGGCGCCCAGTATGTGCGACCTCACAACGGAAGTTTCCACAGGGCGGAGCGGCGTGGTGCGGCGCGTTTGGCTGTAGTGTGCGATGAGCTGTATCTATGGTGCTGTTGGCACTGTCCACAATATTTTATACGAACATGATGAAGTCTTATCACAGTTTAAAATGCAGCGTTATTGTGTATTAGTTGAATTTAGCTATTATAGAGGACCCATGTTAGGCTATTCAATTATGTGGTACCGATTGTCCTTATTGTAACTATATTTGTAAAACGTGGCATTCAGTGTACCTGAAAGCAATTTCCATTGACACCTGCGCCTTTCAAAAATTCCAAGGCTTGACCCTGAACCAAGCAGTTGTTGATATTGGACCAAGAGAATGCATTGCTGGGTTGACGTATGTTGCAGTGAACCTGTACGAAAGATGTATGGACTGCTTTTCAGCCCAGGATTTCCAAAAGAACGTGTGACAAAGAAACTAGTCAAAGATAAACGTTTTATCAATATTTTATTTTTAGTTAGAAATGTTCATATTTGTTTAAATTAATTGACCAATCAATAAAAGTCAATAAAAACACGATCTTTTGTCTATTTGAAATTGTAGGTGTAAAAATAATTTTGAAGCTTTATGGTGATGGTCAATGGGATTAAAATGCCCTGATGACTCCGCTCAATTTTGTGGACGCGTCTGCGAACACCACCTAGTACTTTCTATTTCTCCCCCTCACGTTAAATTTATTCCTTATTATGTCCATTTTCAAGAAATAAGTTTTTCTAACCAACTTTCTTTAAAACTTTTAAAATACAGAGTTATTACCGAGAAACGCTTTTTTCAAATAACGAGTTCTCAGGCAATTCAGAGCAAAACATATATTTATGAGTAGATAAACAGTGTACTCAATATGCAATTTCAGAATAAAATTATTTACAGTTTAGCGTTTTAAAATTACATCTCTAAGGTGGTCGCCTTCTGCTTGGATACAGTGTTGAAGGCGTTCCTTAAAACTTGCTACGGTTATTGCTAACATATCTCTAGGAATGGCATTTGATTTCCTGGTGAATGGCTTCTTTAATTTCCTGTATTGTTTTTGTGGTTTGTATATGTAAACTCTAGATTTCAAAAATCCCCATAGAAATAAATCTGGAATTGTAAGATCTGGTGAGCGAGAAGGCCAAGTGACATCACCAAAACGTGTGATAACTCTTGTAGGAAATGTTCGACGAAGGAATTCCATACTAATGCGAGCCGTGTTGCCCTATCTTGTTGGAACCATACATTACGTACCTATCTTTACATGTTGACGGCGCAGTTCTGGCAAGAAATATTCTTCCAACATTTCCAGGTACCGTTGTGCATTCACTGTCACTGCTCTGCCGTCGTTGTCTTCAAAAAAAGAAGGACCAATGATCCCCTTTTCACTAACCGCACACCACACAGTCACACATAAGCTATGAAGAGGTCTCTCAGCTACGTTTTGAGGATTTTATGCACACTAAAATCGTAAATTCTGTTTGTTGACTGCTCCGTCCACTTGGAAATGTGCTTCATAGGAATAACTGAATAAGGATAACTGCTTCGTCATTTTTGTCTAAAATTTCACTCATTGTGTTACAAAAATTTACACATTGCCTCTTATCTGCTTGACTCAATTGATGACATACTGGCAGCTTGAAAGGATGAAATTTAAGATCTTTGACCAAAGTCTTTCTCACAGTGGATGGGCAAAGTCCGAGAGCAGATACCCGCTTCCTAATTGAGCGGCTAGGACTCTGAACTGTTGAAAGGCGCACTTTTTCAACTGTCTCAGGGGTACTAACTGTCCTTGCCGGTCCAGGAGGTTTCTTCTTAAGCAAAGATCCAGTTGTGTTAACATTATGTATCCAACTCAATATCGTGTTACAATCAGGGATAGCACCATGCCGTCTAATGTTGAAATGGGCAGGAAAGTCTCGCTGAGTCTGAGTGACTGATTTACCATTTGTGTAATATCGTTGCATGACAAACGTACGATGCTCAAGGTTCCACATCTAGGCAACAATTGAAACTTGAAACTGCACACTTCCCCCTCCACAGCGCAACAACTTCCGGCCGTCACGGAATGATATTCCTTGTGTACTACGCAAGTCAAAAACATGCGTTTCCCAGTACCCTGTATTATTTGCAATTAAACATCCATGCCTTCAGTTGAATGTTTAACCTCAGTCAGATTGTAAAGAAGAGACAAAACAGTTTATGAAAATGTATTTGAAAAATTTTACGTTTTTGCCGACTGAGGTAGGTAAATCACTTTTTATAGTGTAGATATAAAGTCAGCAAATTTATTGTAAATTAGTAGTTCTATTCACCAAATAACTGTTCAAGAAACATAATCTTGTAAAGGTGGCTTCTGAATCAGGTTCAAATAGTGCTTAGACTTGCTGCTACAGGGAAGGTAGTGCAATGTGTTTTTAGGGAAATGTTAATGGCTCAGTCTAAAACGAATAAATTTGCCAAATTTGATGAAAGTATTTTATAAAAACATTGTTGTTTCTCTGTAACCATTAAACAAACAACAACTAATTACCCAATTTATCTCTAAACCATTTTTTACGGCCAAAAAACAAGCAATGTGTTTTAGTACAATAAAATTAATGGCTATGCAGACAATAAAAAAATATAAATTTAAAATTCCCATGTTTTTTAATGGAGAATAAGTAAATAGTGTTGCAGTTTGCTTGTTTATGGATATATTTTTATCAAACTTGGAAAATTTATTTATTTTAATTTTATTTATTTTATTAAGCTACGACCATTTTACAAAAAACTCAATCTATTAGCCTTTCCTGTTCCAGCGAACCTGTGTTCATTAAAATTAGTGTAATCTTACTAATACTGTATTATAAATGTGAAAGTTTGTGTGTTTGTTTGTTTGTTTGAAGTTCAATCACGCATAAACCACTGGACGGATTGGGCTGAAATTTGGCATGATGATAGCTCACATTCCCGATTAACATATAGGCATATTCTTATTTCAAAAATCCTTTCGGGCTCCGCCCCAGGGGCTCTGTAGTTCCCCATGTTAACCTTATGAGTATTCATATTTAAAGGAATTAAAGAATTCAGTCAGCTGTTTCAACTAAAAAAAGTTGGTTCTATTATATAAAAAAACATTAAAAAGTTATAAGATTTACCAACAGGGTGCAGCACTATATTTTTTTGCATTTATGTAAACAGCTAATTTGAACTAAGCAGCAACAAAAAACTGTGATACGCAATGAGAGCTGTCAAAGTAGGATTGTTTACAGTTATGTTTATGTCCTTAATGTCATGAATAATTTGTGATTTTTTGTGAATTCGTAATAATTTATTTTTATTTATTGTTTAGGTGAAGTGGTAGAACATTATGGCTATGGTAGATGTGTAATACCATAGTATACCGTCAATTTAAAGAAGCAAATTTTATCAAACTTTGTCCTTCCCCATTGCAAACGCAAAGCTTGAGTATAACTGCAATAAGCATTTTAAACTTATATGCCAACCTCGTACGAAAGGACGGGTACTCTGCTAGTCTATATATAAAGCCAAAAGTACCCATGAACTTTTGAGAAAACTACAAGTAACACCCCCATAAACCATATACTTAAAATGTTCGTCATGACGAGAAACCTTGCGCTAAACTATCCATTATTTCATAAATTTCCCTTTAAGGTCGTAATTCCTTTCTAAAGGGAACTTTCCATATACCTAATGTTAAAAATACTTCAGTTGTACTTATTTGTTTGTATTACTGTATTCTATTTTGTTTATTTCAGCTTAACTTAACCAATGAATAATTTTATTAAAAAGTCGAACGCGGTGAAGCCGGTGGAAACAGCTAGTTTAAATATAAACAATATTAAGGTAATATTTTACTGAAAATCAAACCAGGGTAAAGAAAATTTGCTTAGTCTGCAGGTTTGCTGCAGTGTGGGTCTATAAATCAAGTTTGGACAGAAACAGACAGTGCCTGGAAACTAATTTAGAATTGATAAGAAAACAAACAGTTGTATCAGTAGCTGTACATTATACTGTGCTGATGTGTACATATGCAACGTGGTCGTAGGCTCCGTGAGGAAGTCAGTGAATTTATCTGTTTGTACTGTAATTATCTTCCACTGTTTGCTTAATGCAGTTTTGTGTTTTCCTCAACTATATTAGGTCACTATTGTAGGTTTTCCTTCATTGCACTCCTCATGATTAAGAAACTTGGGTTTTTTTATAGTTTATTTTTTAAAGGACTTTAAAAAGTTTATTTTTAAAAAATCTTTAGGTCTACTTGTGAATAAGTGTATTGTGATCAAAAATGTGTCCTCAGTGTTGATTAACCATTATTTTGTTTAGTTTTTAATCCATCCCAACAATGACAAACTATTACAAGTACCTTCCAATGAAGAGTATAAGACGGTCAAAATTGGCTCTGAAAAAGAGACAAACTAGGCAATATCTCTTTGCTCTTTTACTTTTACTAGCACTAATTTTCATGTGTCTTTATGAGTTTTATTTCACTATAATGGAAAGAGCCAAAAATGGAGAGGCAGAGGCTAATATATTAGAAAGAATAGTTTGTCAGGTGAGTGAAGTTGGATTTTTCTTTTAAAAGGTTAGCAGATTATGATATCAACCATTTTTACATGGCCGCTTCACACATCAACATTATTACTTTTAATAAAAGATTATACCGGTACGCTCATAATTAGTTTCTCTTACGAACAAATACCAGATAGTTTAGACTTTTGTCCATTTTTAAAGTACTGATAAGATTTTATGTTTTTTTCACTCTTAAATTGGCAATAATTTTATGCAAAAAGTAAGAGCAGGGTTTCCCCAGAAGATTTAGGTTAAATAAAATTAGCATACCTTAATTGAGTCGGATATTTATTAGGACTATTATAGATAACCTGTTGCTCGAAACCGAGCAAAACTGCAGGCTGTATAATGAAAGAATAACCAGTAAAAAAATAAACAGCAAGACTTAATCAAAGAGTCACTCTAAAGTAATTTCTGACTGATTATAGAAATATGAAAAATATAATGTTGTAAAAAAATTATAACAGTAGTATATACAATATTTAAATATAGATCCGCTCTCTAATGCTTTGGCTATCTCTTATGTAATGTAGGCTGGTGTATTTCATTACACCAGATGAGTATTTAAAAATTCTATGAGAACAGATGTCAACCACACACTGTAAAGTGAGTTTTTCAGACTTTTTGTAGCAAGCTAAATCGCTCTCTTGACACCAACCAGTACGACACATACTATAGCATTGTTAAATTATTTGTACTACCTGTATGTTCTGTTTTTAGGCGTGTTTAAATTAGGGGCGCAAACGAAAGTCTCCGATTGGGAACATATGAGGGTAGGCAAGTGGATCTAACGACGGATCTAGAACGGATTCGCGTTTAAAATTATTAGTTTTTGGAAAAGACCTAAGATTTATTTGGCCAGGTGGTGCTCTGTTTTCAGCTTTAAAAATAGCTGCGACATTTATTTAAGTAGCATAAGTAAGCACATGAATCTCACTTGACTCCTCGGACCTCTCGTCCCTACACATTTCCGCCACAATTTTAAAAGATTAGGCAAATAAGTTGGCAATGTGACCCTATTCCCGCATATTTTTTCATGGCATTTTTTGTTTGAATTGTGTTTCAAGAGCTGTTGGGTTCCAGTGCCAACGTCGTACTCAACTATACATCTGTGCGGGTTCACGATGACCTTCTAAAGGAATTAGATGATTTACTCGGAGATAACATGTGTCATGGATCTTTAAATTGTAGATGCCCTGTGTGATCCTTTTATGTAAATGAGCTTCATAGAGCTGACCATGGCAAAGGCAAAATTGAATTATCCAAATAATTTCTAGATCTAAGCCTCGCAGTCCTGTTTTCAGATTGGGAGTTTCCAATTAGTTCCTGAAAGTATAGTGAATTCCGCAGATGAGGTAAACGGATCTTTCATTTATGGTAACAATGAGTGAAAATTGAACTGCTTCGGTCTTCTTTCCTTTGCTTAAAATGTAAGCAACCACAATGTAAACATTTAACGTTCATTTGTCTGAGGAGACTGTATCCTTCAAATGTTCCATTGGTAGGTTGATGCAAGTGACGGTCACATCCGCGTTCCCTCCAGTCACTTACAGCTCTTCATCTTACTGGTGGCTTAATTTTAAATTGAGATGAAATACGGAAGTTAAACAAACAACAGAAAACACTACAACGGAATTTTGATATACATTGTAAATTACGAGATACGGGAATGCAACGGGTGGGTGGGTATAACTGCACTGTGAATAATCACTTTCAAACATTCACTTATTCATCACACCGAACTGTAACCGAAACTACATGATAATTCAGTAAAATAAGAAGCAAGTTAGATGAATTCAAATATTAGGCCTACAAACAATTTGTTATCAAGCTTTGCTAGGAAACTATTTTATGAACCAGACTTATTAAACAGATGTTTAAATGGAAATATATATTTCGGCTTTGCTCTGGAAGTTTTAAGTCCTGCAGTCTGTGGTTAACCCTTAACCATTTCTTAAACTATTTCAAACTACGTCCATATGTTATTTGTAAACAAAGGGAAATGAGTTAGATCAAATGTCAACAGATAGCGCCGCCTTCCAAACTTTAGCCCTTAAGTGTACTTAAGTGGTGCCCTTTCTTAATATTCTGAGACGTATTTGCACATCTACGTGAAAATACTTTTAATTTTACACTTCAAACTTCAAAATCCATCAAGCGGTTATTGAGTTATGACTGTGAAAAGAAAACTGCTTGCATATTAATATATAGATTATAGATAATTAAACATCATTGTAAACTGAACCACTTTGAACTTCTACCATGGGAGTTCCAAACGTTGTCCATATTGATTCAACTATTAAAAGTTTGGTGTTCAACCAAATGACAAAAATCAATCGTAGTTATGAAACAGTTAGCTGAACTAATGGTTACAGGTATTCATGTTAAGTGTGTGTCCTAACAAAGAAGATGGGTCATCTACACAGCTCCGAAACAAAATAGAACAATTAAATAAAGAACAAAAAATTAGAAATTTTAGTGATCAAGAGCTAAAAGAACAAAGTACTGTTGTTGTAATCCAGGTTAGTAGATTAGCACTTAGAAAGATATTGAGATTTATTTAAGCATTAATTGATACCGTACACACTTTTGCAATGATCTAACAAAGTTTGTTTGTTTTTAGCAAATTTACCATTAATTGTTGGGAATAAGCTATTAAAGTAGGTCTCATAGTAAGACCTGGTCCCGAGGCCGTTTTACTTTGTAGTTTTTATGTACCCAGAGGCCAAAAACACCATCATCTGTTTATATTCATAAATATATATAAACTGCTAAGGCAGGAGTATTAGGTACTTAATAGATTCTTAAATATCTTTGCAGTGGTAATTGTTAAGTTATGTAGGGATATGTTTAGGAGTGGAGGAGATTACAGTAGAAACTCACTAATCGAACCTCGATAATTCAAAAACCTCTATAATTAGAAATGTTTGTCTGTTCCCCTCAGTATACCTCTAAAATTCAAAAAATAATATGACGATAATTCAAAGTGATTTTTACGCTTAATGCAGCTTTATAATTCGAATCTGCACATACTGGAGCCTCTACAATTCAAATTTTGTTGCTGTAATTCAAACTGTTACCTCCTAAATTCAAAGGTAGCCTCTACAATTCAAACTGTGTTACTGTAAGCCTCTGTAATTCGAATTCAGGAAAAAAAGTATGCCTGTTGAAACATGAACTGACGCTCTTCGATGTTTCCATGATGTGTTCATTAGTCTTCGTTCTCTCAAACTCTCTACACTTTAAACTGGGACCTCCATGATTTGAATTTTATTTATCTGACCTCTATAAATCAAACTCTCTACAGGGTGATTGATATAAGTGTGCCAGCCGTTTTATTCGAAAACTATAGGAGATATAAAAAAAAGTTAAATGGTAAGTGCCTTGTATTTTTTATTTAAAAAATTATAGTCAAGTCCAAAAAATTATTTTAGCCGCCATTTTTCTAATATGGCCGCCAACTTTGATTTTTCTTACGGAACACCCTGTATTTTATGATGTATTCTGGTAGAAAAAGTAATTTTAAGACGATTTTATTCTTGTCATTTTTTTCATAAACCTAACCGTTTCAAAGATAATAATGGTTTAATTTGTTAAATTTTGAATGGTTTTCGAACAAAACAGCTGGCATGCTTGCTTAGGCCTTTATCGAAACTCTTTCTCATGCAGAAATTTCAAAACTTTAACCATAATTATCTTTGAAACGGTTAGGTTTATGAAAAAAATCACAAGAATAAAATCGTCTTAAAATTACTTTTTCTACCAGAATACATCATACAATATAGGGTGTTCCGTAAGAAAAATCAAAGTTGGCGGCCATATTGGAAAAATGGCGGCTAAAATAATTTTTTTGACTTGACAACAATTTTTTAAATAAAAAATCCAAGGCACTTACCATTTAACTTTTTTTGATATCTCTTATAGTTTTCGAATAAAACGGCTGGCACACTTATATCAATCACCCTGTATATTTCAAACTTCCTATAATTCAAAATCATATGGTTTTTCCTCTGAAATTCAAATTAGGGAGGTTCTAATATTTGGATTAATAATACATCCTCTGGGTAAGGAGTAGCACAAATATATATTAAATACATGTGAATAAATATATTTAAAATCTATTTTATATATCTCAAGTGTGTATTAATGTCAATTTTATATAATATTTAAAATATAAAAAATATGTTTTTGAATCTATTAAATATTAAAAAAATATGTTCCAATAATATATTTTAGTGAATAATATTTAAATAAAAAATGTATTTAATATCACTTCCAAACATCCCATGGGGCCTAAACATAAAAATACAAAATAATAAAGATTTAGTATGAAATGAGCACAATTATCAGTTAAGTAAATTGATTAAATCAATTAAAATGAATTGAAACAAATAAAACAAAAACAAATTTTGAAAAAATTACTGGACAAAATTTTGTCGGCCCGGATGGGTCTCGAACCTGGGTCCTTCTCCTTATGAGCCTCTTACCTTACCTCTGAGCTATTTGTGACTGTTGACAGATTTAGTTTTCAAATGATGAAAGAGTGGCCGTCAGTTGCAATACTTGAAATATTTTTGATACCGGGACTACAGTATAATATGATTCTGTTTTGGCATCAAGTAGTTGAGTTAAATAGTGCTGTAGTGAATTGTGAGTAGTCTCCATGAATACAAATACAGTAAACTAGAAAAACTAATTTAAATACTATGACAAATATTATGTAATTTATGGCATATGTAAATCAAATAATTATTTTTAGAACGTCATATACAACCGTAATTAGTTTCTTAAAAGGTCGCCAGTCACTAGTACGGTACCCTTTTCTAGCCAATCATTCGAGATTTCTATGATCACATTCATTGTCACATATTGTATTTGCAATTAAAAAAATAAAACCCATCAACACTTTTTTTTTCGTTTGACCCACATGTAGCTGTCGATCATGTATACTGTCTCTTAACTATATGCGTAATTTTTTCTTTACGTGCATGATAGAGTGACACCATTCAGAGTTTGTATTATCATTTACTTAATTTTAATGCTTCCACAATAGCAATTATCATTCAAAAAATGCATGTATAAATTGATAGACACTATAAAAAACAAAAAGATGCCAATTATTTATTTGCTAATTATAATAGATTACAGGCTATGTATTCTACAAATATATTATTATTTTATTAATATAAATATCTGACAAGTTTCAAAATATACAGGGTTATTACAAATGATGTTCATGATTTCATACATACATGAAATATGGTTTTATTTGTTATACAAGGAAATAAAATGGATACAACTTTTGAAAAACTCAAAAAGTTTTGACACAGATACACAGAACTGTAAATGCTCGATACGGGAACCCCTTGTGGTACGATAATGCCAATTATGTAGTCAAGCTCTTGCTAGACTTTGAAAGGTGTGTCTAGGTTTATTGTTTCAATAGCATTGGTAATCCGTTGCTGGATCTTAAGTATGCTTGGGTGGTGTGTACGCCTTATCTTTGATGTATCCCCACAAGAAAAAAATCAGGGGGTGATGTATCTTGTAGGCCAGTTCAGGGGTGTGTCATTATTCGGACCACCGGGTTCGTTCCATATCTCAGGCAGCACATTGTTAAGTTCAGCCCTACTACAAGTAACATTCAAATGCAGCCATTTGTCTTAAATTTCAAGTGTCACTTGCCAATATAGTGGTTACTAGGAGGATAATCGTTAAACCTGGTTCTAAAGTGTCGTTGCACACTAATAACAGATTGGTTAATGTAATATTCCAACTGGCAAAAAGCTTTCCTGCCTTCAAATTCAGCCATTACACAACACTTACAACAATTGACTTGACAAACAGCTGATATGCACCCAAACCAATGTAAATGAAACTTTATGAGTTTTTCTTTCCAAAGGTACCAACTAAAATAGTCTTGAAACAAATTAACCCAGTAATATTTATAATCAAAATCAGGAACCAACATCATTTGTAATAACCCTGTATTTATAAATACTTTAAATATATAATATAGTTTCAAAAATATTTTATATATATATTTAAAATATTCTCAACACATAATTTTTTTAAATATTTATACATTTATACATATAAAATATGTATATTATAGATTCTATACTTATTTTATCAATATATATTATGAATCTATTTTATATATTCAAAACTTATATTTAATTTATATTTTGCATTGCTTTTTGGTAATATTTTAAATATATACTAGCTGAACCCGGCAGACGTTGTCTTGCCTTTGACTATTTATAATTTAAGTACCGTAACGTTTAATTGTCTTATTGTATATGAAGTGCTTATAACAAAATTAAAATACGTACGACAACTAATGAAACACATATAGTACAAAGGATAACCGATTCTTTATTATTGCTCTTATATTAATGTTAGTGGGTAGACAATATTAGACAATATAGTGCTGCACCCTGTTGGCAATCCTTGTAACTTTAATGCTATTGAACATCATAGAACAGAACCAACTTGTTTAATTGAAACAGCTATTAAGATTCATTAATTCCATTTCTCATAAGATTAACATGGGAAACTCCAGAGCCACTGGGGCGGAGCCGATTGGACGGATCACGAAATTGATGGTGTATAAACCTATTCCATGAAATTCTACACGTATGTACTAAGTTTCGTGGCAATAGGTTCAGCGGTGTCTGAGTTTATCACTGCCAAATATATATGTATACAGGGTGATCAACTCAAGGAGGCCACCATTGGGATATCGGAAACGGTAAGAATTAGAGAACACTTTAAATGGGGGACATTCCTTTATTTTTTGTGACAGTTAAAAATATGATTTTAGTTTTTCAAAATTCAGCCGCCATTTTCCAAAATGGCGGCCAACTTTGAAATTTCTTATGGAACACCCTGTATTTTATGTTTTCGGATAGAACATGCAATTTAAAAACTTTTTTATTCTTGAAATTTTTTCGATAAACCCACTCGTTTAGGAGTTACAGCCTATGGAAAAATTGCTTCCGGTGTACATTTTACATCATGTAGCTCCAAAAAAAAGTAGGTTTATAGCGAAAATGCGAGGAGAAAATAAGTCAAATAAGTCTTAAAATTGCATCCACATTCCAAAAAGTTCATAAAATTCGTTAAAAATATTAATTCTATTATATATATAAAAATGGCGGCCATTTTCCAAAATGGCGGCAAACTTGAAAAGTGGAAAACTGTGCATTTTATGGACTTTTTGGAATGTGGATGCAATTTTAAGACTTATTTGACTTGTTTTCTCCTCACATTTTCGCTATAAACCTGCTTTTTTGGAGCTACTTGATGTAAAATGTACACCGGAAGCAATTTTTCCATAGGCTGTAACTCCTAAACGAGTGGGTTTATCGAAAAAATGTCAAGAGTAAAAAAGTTTTTAAATTGCATGTTCTATCTGAAAACATGATAAAATGCAGGGTGTTCCATAAGAAATTCCAAAGTTGGCCGCCATTTTGGAAAATGGTGGCTGAATTTTGAAAAACTAAAATCATATTTTTAACTGTCACAAAAAATAAAGGAATGTCCCCCATTTAAAGTTTTCACTAATTCTTACCGTTTCCGATATCCCAATGGTGGCCTCCTTGAGTTGATCACCCTGTATATACAAACATCCTCTTTTATACTTGTAGATTTGAATATATCAAACTATTATTACAGATATATTATTTATATATTTTATTTGAGGTTCTATCAAATACAACTTTAAATATATAAAATACATATTTGTGCTACTAGGGGTGGTAAAGCGGTCATTACACACTTTCCATCAGACACAGATATAGACTATATAATATCCCGTGTGCGTAGACTGCGAGGAACCGAGTTTGTATTGAATAGAGACTATTCTTCGGAAGTGTGCCAAAAACCTTTGTGTCTCATGTGAGAAAGATCGGAGATAGGAAAGGTGGAGATGGCACGTTGGAAGATGGTTAGCTTCGGGCAGAGAAGGAAGATGGTGGGGCCAAGCTCCGTAGCATGTTTAACTTGAACCTAAGTGACTTTCATGCTAGGCAGAGTTCCCAACATCCCAAGGAGAGAAGCTTCACAGCGGATTCGACAAAGGCCGGCAGCAGTGACACTACACATAGGCAGGTGTGGCACCAACAGCGGCAGAGGTGGTGCGACCAAGTACTAAAGTACTAAAAACTTACAGTAAAAAACCGACTGTTCGAATTAATTGGGACCGGGATCAATTCAGATAATCTGAATAAATTTTATCAAAATATATCCATAAACAAAAAACAACATACCTATATAAAAATTTGAACGAATAGTGTTTTTAGGAACATCAAATGAAAAAGTAAGTTGTTCCCGGGTCAATGTCTTACCGTGTCTTAACGCTAACAGCTACTTCTCTATAGGAAACTCAACTGTTCTTTTTGGTCTTGCAAAAAAACACACCAGCTTAACTAAAGTTACCTCATGTACTGCAAGAAGTCAAGACAAACAACAATTTATCTTGACTTCTTGGAAGTTCAAAAATAAACGGGTTCATATTTCTCCACAGGGTCAAACAAGTTATTTAAGTTTATTTTAAAACGTTTTTATCAGCTCGCTTTCTTGTTCGGTACCTACAAATTTTGCAATCAATTTTATACTAACTCCCCGATGAGCTAGAGACTTGAAACTTGAAACATAGCTCACAAATGGATGACAATGCAATATTATATAATTTAATTTTCATATTTACCTTGGGCTACGCCCCATGGGCTTCAAAATTTTCCATGTTTATATTTTGAATGAATGTAAATATATCAATTAATTTAAGTCAGCTGTAAATACTTAAATTTGACAGTTTGAAGAGCAGAGGTTAAGAGGTACAGGTTCTGCTCTTGAGATATTCTAAAAATATAAAACAAGCATTTCAAAATAAAGATAAAACATAAGGTTTTCTGTATTAACAGACCATATAAAATAAATCATATTTACACATTAAAGATTAAAAAGTAGAAAATAACTTATAACTAAAAATACTGTTTTTTTAAATGCCACGTTTTCAAACGCACTAAAAAGTAGAAAATAATTTATAAATATGTTGAGAGAATAAATACTTGTAAGATTTAAAGCAAAAAACGTGTGGGCATGGAATAGATCAAATAGTTCAATAGGTATGAAGTTAATTGTAAATTAGCATGCACCCCACGTTTTTAATTTTAAACTGACAAGTATTAAATTCTCTCAACATATTTATAAATTATTTTCTACTTTTTAGTGCGTTTAAAAACGTGGCATTTAAAAAAAAGTATTTTTATTTATAAATTATTTTACTTTATTTAAGTTAGTCTGGTGTTCACAAAGAAGAAAACAAAGAAGAATATTGAAGTAAAAACATTTAAAAAAATAACTATAAGCTACATTCTATTATTTACATTGTTTTCTGAGACACTGGTAACACTATTAGAGGGTTCTACTCGGTCAATTGAAGATGGCGGCTAAACATGCTAATGTTTCTAAACATGTCTCTACGGTACAAGCTCTCAACACTCTAAAACTTATCTGTTTCCAATGGTTTTGTGCTATTAACATATCAGAGCTTGCCACGGGATAGGTGGGGCCTATTTAATGTTTAACTATTATTTAGAAGATAAAACCACATGTGAAAAAGACTAATTTACGGATTTTCAAAATGATTTTGTAAATACTTAAAGAAACAACTACGAAGTTTCAGTTCATCCAGGGCATAGTTTGGATCTTTGTGAATATTTTACAGTTCATTTCAACTACTTTAATAATGCCACGAGGTTCTTTTAGTAGGACATTGTTTACGTGTTAACCAGCTGGCAGGTGGAACCCTCTTAACACCAGGGCTTGAATAATTAATAAACTTATGTTGGTGATTAACAGACCAGCTGGGATGAAGTACTCTTTGCTGAGCTGCAGATAGGTTATAAACTCTATTCTGTAAAATACCCATACGGTACTCATGTTTTTTTTAACTTTTTTACATGGTAATTCATAATGTGCACTTTTGATGGTGAAATGGCACTTAAAAAATCTTGTAAATTCTTGCCTTCTATTTTACATAAATATTGTACAGTTATGGATTGCCTAGTTTGTTCTTGTACATTTTTTGCAGGTTCACAGGCAAATTGAATATTTGAAAGAGCTCATCTCTTCTCTCTCAGATGTTCCTGATGCAGATTCAATGTTTTTAATATTTAGTCATGACTACTACAGTGAAGATATCAATCAATTGGTTCATTCGATTGATTTTGCTCCAGTGCTGCAAGTATTTTTTCCTTTCAGTTCTCAACTTTATCCAAACGAATTCCCTGGGAATAGCCCAGATGATTGCCCTTGGAACCTGGAAGTTGCAGAGTAAGTGTGTATGTCTAACCAAATAAAACTATAATTTGTAAAGTATCTTGCAGCTATGTTAATGGCTATAATTTTAAAAGGAAAAAAATTCCAAATGGAGTCTTTTACAGTGTTAAATTTACACTGTGGAACTCAAGAACACTTGATTAACTTTTAAAACAGAAACATCCGGTGTTCACAAAAAAGGAAACAAAGAAGAAGATAGAAGTCAAAACATTTCCATTTCCAAATTACTTTGCGATTGTAGTAAGATCATTTATGGTCTGACAATTTTCTACCCGTTTTACAGATATTTGTTTTTTGTTTTATCTCTATAAAACAGATTGAAATATGCAACAATGCTTGGTATTTTACTTTGAAACCCCATCAGTAATGTAACTGGCATCAAGGGTGTCCATGTTTGGTGGCAAGGGAAGGGGACCACGGCCCTCTATCTACAAGAAAAATAGAAAATTGAATGCATCATGTGTAGAAAATGTATTTTTTTAAATTATCAAATCATTTGGTAAATAACCTCTCCAACAGGGTTCAAACTAGAGTATTTTTAGAGTCATTAAGACTACATATATCTTTTTCAGAGTATAAAAATTAAAATGTAATATATTCACCTCCCCCCTCATTCAGGCCCGTTTTTGACCCTGTCAGCGCCCTAGGCACAACTAATAGTAGCGCCCCTTTGCAATATATATATAAGGGTGTCCACCGACCGGGAAATCCGGGAATAATGCTGGAATTTTATAAACCGGGAATTATGAGTGAATTTTGTATTTCTACCTGGAGTTTTCAAATTACCGTGATCGCGCATGACAACAGTTTCCGTGGACGCGGGAGACGATAATAATGTCTACACTCGGCCGCGAGATATTCAGAATATTGCCACGATCACGGAAGATGATGATAATGTCCACACGACCGCGCGAAATAGCAAGAATTTTACCGCGATCGCGGAAAACGATGATGATTTCCACACAACTACGGAACATGATTAACATTTTGATACACGACCGCGGGAGACGGCTACGATGTCTACAGGACCGCGGGAGATACAATAATGATTTACACGGCCGCGAGGGACGATCGGAATTAGGCCACGATCGCGCAAGACAATGATAATGTCCACATGACCGCGGGAAAAAATCAGAATTTTGCCTCATTCACGGAAGACGATGATCTCCATATGTCCACAGTACCGCAGGAGATACAAAAGTGATTTCTACATGGCCGCGAGGGATGATCAGAATATTGCCGCGATCACGGAAGGCGATGATAATGGCCACACGATCTCGGGAAAAGCTCAGTACTTTGCCTAATTTGCGGAAGAGGATGATGATCTCCACAAGACCGAGGGAGATGATTACCATTTTTTTACAATCGTGGGAGGCGATTAATATGTTCAAACGACCGCGGGGGACGATATAATGATGTCTTCACGGCCGCGAGGGGTGGTCAGAATTTGACCGCGATCGCGCAAGACGAAGATAATGTCCTTACGACCGCGAGAAAAGATCAGAATTTTGCCTCATTCGCGGTAGACGATGATAATCTCCTCACGACAGCGGGATATGCTCATATATTGCTTCGATCATGGAAGACGATAATTATGTCTAAACGACCTGACCGCTGAAAATAGTAAGAATCTTGCCGCAAACGCGGGAGACAATTACGATGTCTACACGGTGGCGAGGGATTATTAGAAAGTTTACCAAACTCGCATGCAAACAACCACCAATTTTTTTTATTTTCCAAATTTTTGGCGCCCCCCAAAAAAGCCAATTGCCTCGCGCCCTAGGCACGTGCCTACCGTGCCTATTCGGTAAATCGGCCCTGCCCTCATTTGAACTTTGATATGGGTGCCCAAGCAGTTATACAGGGTGATTGAAAAGTCTGGGTACGGCTTAATATTTTTAAAAATAATGCAGATAGAGCTAAAATACTTGGTACAAAGTTACAGGGCATAAAACTCTATTTTACTACATATTCAGTGATTCAATAACTCTTCAGGGGGACGTCCCACAAGGAGTCAGAAGACAATCTTAAATGGAAGCATAGTTCAATATGCACATCAAATTAAAGGTCTGTTTTAGTAGAATACAATGCCGCAAACCGCACTTCAAAAGGTTGATCCTGCGCAAAATGGCAAATGTTCAAAGATTTCTTGAATCCGCCATTTTGAATCTTTGAACGGCTGCCATTTTTTACTCAGGCATTCTTTTGAGCTTGAATTTACGGCATCGTAATCTAAAAGTGAAGACCTTAAATTTGATGTGCATATCGACCTATTCTTACGTTAACAATTTTCTTCCGATTCCTAGGGCTACTTGTGCCCCCTGAGGAGAAAGCGTATAACAGCATGTAAATTAAATGAATCTTTGAACAACTGTCATTTTGCGCAGGATCAACCTTTTGAAGTGCGGTTTGCGGCATTGTATTCTACTAAAAAAGACCTTTAATTTGATGTGCATATTGACCTATGCTTCCGTTTAAGATTTTCTTCTGACTCATGGTGGGCCGTCCCCCTGAGGAGGTAGCGCATCACTGGATATGTGTTAAGATAGATTTATATGCCTTATAACTTGATTCCAAGTTTTGTAGGTCTACGTTTATTATTTTTCAAAATATTAAGCCGTACCCAGACTTTTCAATCACCCTGTAGATATGGGTTCATTCAATTTTACTTCAAAATAAACTTGCCTGCCAAAAAGGAAAAAAGGAACTTTTCCTTCAAAAAGGAACTTGAGAGTTCCTTGTTTTGAAGCTTATGAGACTAAAACTGAGCTCATAAAGTGCCTACAGCTCATAAAGCTTATTCAGTGTTCCATATTTGGAAAACCAAGTGCTGTATATGTGTTTATAAAGCCAGATATTGCTGCATATACCCGATGTAGCCTTATTCTCCTATCGAGATCTGGAGCTAAAAACCAGATCTGGCTTGATAAACTCAGATCAGGCCCATAAATACCAAAATCTGATATTATTTATGACCAGATCTGGTTTCACCAAACGTTGACAAAAGCAATATGAGTGAAACATTCCAAGCAAGAGTTATTGTTTGAACCTAACCAGAGTAGACATTTGTAGGGCCAGGAGTCGGGAGTGTGAGGGAGCCCAGACTCCAGATCAGAACGGCCACTTCCGTCAAGCTGAAGTCTCACAGAGCAAGCACCATTGGTGGTGGATGTACAATATGGTCTTTGAGAAAGTTCATATCCTTAAACAATATAATGGTAAGCAAACTTTAATAAATCTCCGTAGTTGTCATTCAAGATACCAACTGTCCTCAACAGAATATCAGTAAAAACTTTACCTCGGAGTTAAAATATAAATAATAACTTTCAGTTTTAATTATCACGGTATCCAAAATTAGTTTGTCATTTAAGAGAGTTTACTTGTAAAATTGCACTAAGATGTTTTATTTCTAGTTCATGGAAAAAATCTATTTTATTTACTTAAAAAGAATAACTTTAGTCAAAAAGTCAAGAGGGGGTCTCCAGACTTATAGCTATGCCCAGAATGTTGAAGGCTGTTACCTCATTGCTACTAGTAGCTGTGACAGGTATCCGAATGAAACAAAGAGAATTCGCTATGAACAGTAATTTATTAAAATTATAACAAGAACTAATTGTAGCTTCCGACTTGCTGTATAATTAATATACGTTTAGTTTACAAACACAAATAACTTACTGTATGATCACAAATACTAACTGGCAAGAAAGAGAGAATACAATTTTGAAATGAGTTGTTTAGATCTACGAAGTTAAGATACAGATTTTCATGATAAGGTGCATTTTAGAAAAATGGGGGAAAGGCGACAATTTAGATGACCGACCGAGCCGAATTTAGAATTTAGACTAACTCAACTGAGTGCTCTCCGTCCATAGCGCAAAGTTGGCCGTGGAGGGGCAACATCCAATCAACGTTGCGGCTACGCCGCGTGATGTCGGTGCAACACTGCATAGTGCTGCTGCCTAACGATCAATCGGGGCGTTAGGCAAACTGCAGTTGCGCGGTTACTGATTTCATCGGGCGACCTGCTGAGCTGTCTCAGCAAATTCCAGCCACGCACGTTACACTTCTGAGAATGGCCTAGCGCTGAGCCACGGCTGACAAAATATTCCATGGTGAGGCAACTGGTTGACGCAAAAGTTGGGAGATTAACACAGTTCAATATTACAGACCCTCCTTTTATACTTGAAATAAAGCAAAGCTTTTGTGACTGTATTGACAGGGTTTCTTGAGGGTGTAACAAGAACCTCCCCAGCTGATATGTAATAGGTCTGGGAATTTTTGGGGCCGTCACATAGCGGCTACTACTCGTCCTCGTCAATAATTTCTATGTTGCATCATAGAATAAATACTTCATCTATGGTTGCAGTCACACTAGCTGACTAGTAGTAGTGAGTACAGTGAAATGCTTCTAGTGTTTTTAAGCATTAATTGCCATGTCATCAGTGGGGATAAGCTGACAGATCTTACGGCGTCTCTTGTTGTTAGGTGTAAGAGAAGTGTGTGAGGACTGAGGAGTTGCTTCGTAACGCAACGCAAGTAATAAGAATAAACGGAAGTGGGTATGTGATTGGATTTTAAGGAGACATAATTTTGGTGCATCTGTCACTCTTATGAAAGAACTAGCGAGTGTAGGATATATTTATATAACTAGTGAGGACCCTCAATCATACGTCAATATTGAAATTGGATCCAAACTCAATGAGTTGCTTGGCTACCAGCAACTAGTCGCTTCAAAAATAGAATATTTGGGCTACTAAATGTTTATTCGGTGAGGAGTGCTAGTCGCCGTTACTTACTATGTCATACCTAGCAATTAGTAGCCGCAACTCTAGTAGCGGCGAGCAAAGTCGCTACGTGTGACACGGCCTTAAAAGAGAATTTGTTTACAAATGATCTAGCCTATTTCAAACAAAATTCAATACAATAAATGTTTCAGTGAAGACATTTTTAAATTGAGATTAATGACGTTATACAATGTGGGACTCTAAAATAACAAGACTGGTTTTCTAAGAGACAAACTGTGTGTGCCTCAAAGCCAAACGCCATATTTCTGAGTTGCCTGGTAACCCCCCTCCACGTTAAGGCCAGTTCTACAACACTAAGTTTCTTAGTTCGGCCAAAGTCTTTGTTTGTTTCAGATTTGTGTATTTGCCTCTCGTGGAAAATGGTATAGTCCAGCAACCTGTCAGTGGGCATTTTTTGTGATGCTCGGTATGTCCACAACTGAGACCTATCACTCAAAATTTATTACCAAAATTTATGGGGATCAAAGTATATATCGTACACAGGTTTTTGAGTAGTATTAATGTGTAAAAGAAGGAAGAGAAGATATGAAAGTTGATCCACGCCCAGGACATCCCTCAACTTCAAAAACTGATGAAAATATTTTAAAGTAGGCAATCTAATATGTCAAGATTGTTGTTTGAGTACCCTTGCAGTTTCTTGTACTGTAGAAATTGACAAAGAATCAGTTCAACTATTATTACATGAACATAAAAGATCATCAAGAAAAAACTGTGTTCTAGAATGGTGCTTAACATCCTCACGCCTGAACAAAACGTCGCGTTCACGGATGGTAATGAGTGAAAATTTAAAAACGTACGTTTTCAGGAAAAGCACTTTGCAAAATTTTTCCCCTTTTTTCAAAACTTTTATTATTTTTTTTATTTCATTAACATTTGAAGTTTCATAAAATGTCCATGGTAACGCAATATCTTTGGTAGTTTTTTTTTTAAAGAGCATCTTTAGTGGAAAAACACAAAATCCTGTCACGACCATAACGGACGTTTAAATGAATATTAAAAATGGTTAATATTATTTTTATAACTATGTATTGCTATAAACTAATTTACTTTTATGACCATTATACAATAAAAAGGTCACTGAGCTTTTGGTATATTTGGTCTTTCTATAAAAAAAAACACTCAAAAAATTGAAAATAAGCCAATAAAATCTTTTTTACTTTGTATAACTCCGAAAAAACTTACCTGAGACCCGAAAAATCGTTATGTTTGTATAGAGGTGTGCTTATTTTGTGTTTAAATTATTAAAATATGACAATATTTTAATTTTTGAAATTTTTATGATAGAAATCATTAACGAAATGGTCAGGGACAAGCGGTACGGTCGTGAATTGTCTGGAATAATCTAAATCTTTCTAAACAATCCTTCAATTATACTGTTAGTTATAATAAAAATATGTGTTTCAATTGAACTAAACTGTTAAATTTTCAATTATATTAAAGTTATTGTCACGACCAAACACACACTGATGGTCGTGAAATTACGTGTTATTTGGCTCTGTTCTGGCGGTAGCCCTGCACCTCATGTTCGAGGATACAAAGTGGACTTCTAGGTTAATCTAGCAATTGAAATATCTAATAAACAAAAACTAACACCATGTCTACTTCACCGAATGGCTACGTACGGTCATGGACACACCAAAATTACAAAAAACACAATCTTTCCTTTATTAATCTTGTAATTCCTCCTTTCAACTCGAAACGACCGGCACTACAATCCTGACGTACACCCCGAACTAGTCTCTAAAACCAACTGACTCCATCGACGCCAGGCTTGCCACTGTCGTGCTCCAAAGTTGAAAATTTTTCCCAAATGGTCGTGACACCAAATCGAGGAACAGACTTATTTTGTCATGGTAGTCAGTTTGCAATGACAATAAAATTATAATATGCTCCTTTTATGTCAATTTAATAACCATTGATGACATAAAAATATGTCTTTATATATTTCGGCATGAATAATTAGTCTAAAAACAGCGTGAAAGTTGGAAAATGTACCCTAGGGACACGTCATGGTCGTGAATTTCAAGACTTTAAAAATACGAAAAAAATACCTAGAACCTATTTAAAACCAAATAAATGTGTGTAACATGTTGCCCCCGTCCCAAAAAATATTAAAACACATAATAATAAACTACAAATCCAGTATCTACGAAGTAAAAGGCCAGGGACATGAAAACGTACGTTTTTAAATTTTCACTCTAATTTGTTCTGCAGCCTTGGAAAACATCAAGAAAGATCCTAAACAGTATAGGATTTTTTTACTTGTTTTAACTTTTACAGATCTTCACAAAAAGTGACTTGTTACTCAATTATAATGCCCATTTTATAGGCCCAGAAATAATCCAACCAAATACGGTAGATTTTGCAACAATTGCAGTGGATTTATGCCCCTTTACAAGGCCAGGGAAAATAATTGCACCGAAGGTGTCTGCTCCACAATAATAACATCAATTGTTGCACACATTATATACTCCAATCTTCCACTAGAGTTACGAGACTACGACAGACACTCAATTACAAAGTACAAAAAATACATTGTTCACTGGCTCAAACTCATTGGTTGGGATGGAGCTAATGGATTAATAGTTTCAATTTACAGACCATAGGTGACAGCTGATACATAGGTGACTGTGTTGTGTGTGTGTGTGTGTGTGTGTGGTGTGTGAGTGGTGTGTGTATGACGGAGAGGGGGTATTTTGGGTGGTCAGGGTTTGTGTGGGGGGGGGGGAAGTGGGGTTGATGTGATAGTCATCTATATGTTCAATGCCATTTGTTTGATTTCGCTAGCGCTGTAATCATGACTTAAGTGTTTTCTTTAATTTTTCTGTTTTCAAAACTTTCATATATTTCTTTTTGTTTATTTATTTAGTTACTAGCTGTACCCGTGGGCTTTGCCCCGCTTAACTTCATAAGTATTCGCATGGCTCAATCACGTCCTGGTTGAAGTTCGTTCGCTACGCTCACTCACCTTCAGGTTGGAAATCGTTCGCTGCGCTCACTTGTTTTCAGGTTAGCTCGTTCGCTACACTTACTCGCCTCCAGGTTGATGTTCGTTCGCTACGCTCACTCACCTTTTGGTTGCAAAATAGCTGTTGTCATAAATTTAAAAAAGTCATCCCTTTTACTTTCTCCCCCTATAGTATATGGAGAAAGTATTGTTTTCGTCAAAATTTTCGAGTTTGAGTTTTGAGTGGATATATTCGTTTTGGGTCCCCCTGGACCCAAAAAAGTGGTTTTCGAAGTGATGTCTGTGTGTGTGTGTGTTTGTGTGTGTGTGTGTGTCTGTGTGTCTGGATGTGTACAGAGCTAGGGACTACACCTGTGGTCCGATTTCGATGAAATTTGGTATGTAGGTTCTAATCCATTGTATCTCCAGGCTTTTTTTTTCATTTTTTTGAAATTTTTATTTTTAA